TCTAACAACTTGTAATTTAGGTTTACAAAATGGGCAAAAGCCAGCTATTAGCGATCAAATCATGACTTTTCTCCGACCACCTACTGCTTTAAACTCCATATACTTGCCTTCACGTGTGGGTTCAGCAATGCGAAGCCACATTAATGTGTCTGACTGACACTGGGTTTGATGTCACAGGGTAGGCTTATACTCGTACAGTGCTGGCATTGTTTCTCTATACCCTGACATAAGACTAGATTACTCTCTCGTGTTACATCTTACTTCAGTTTATTTCATTATGGGGACAGACAAGGCAGCTATTGTGTTGGCGCTGTATGGTTTGACCGGGTTCGAATTGGCCTCAAGGTACACATGCTTGTCGTAAGAGGCGACTGACGGGATCGGGTGATCAGGTTCGCTGACTTGGTTGCCACATGTCATCGTCTCCCAATAGTGTAGATCGATGCTCATGCTGTTGATCACTGGATTGTCTGGTCCAGACTCGATTATTTACAGACCGCCGCCATATAGGTTGAATATTGCTGAGTGCGACATTAAACAACCAACCAACCAACCAAACCACATGGTAACAACATGTGAAACCCATATATGGTGTCTTCGCCGTGATATTGCTGGAATATAGCTGAAAGCGGCGTAAAACTTCACTCACGCATCCACAGCACTCAGCCATATAGCTGGAATATTGCTGAGTGCGGCGTTAAATAACAAAGCAAGTATATCTCCGACGAAGTATACAACAAGAATGGATTACTGAAGACCAATTCTGTCGGAATCTTCATTAGTGCGATGTTATTGTATAATTTGTCAATCCGACACATCCCACATACGTAAGCAGAGCAGCAATAATAAAACATCACCTTCATCCTGGACAATAATATCACACGACGTAAGCTGCCAAAAATAATATCTTGAATATAAGAGAGACTGCAGTCCGGCGTTTTTCTTGATTAAAATAGTGATCCAGCTTTTTAACCTAATAAACCGTCAAGGAACATGTGCTTTTTCTTCTGCTCAATTTTCATATATATAATTTGTTTTCGCTAAAACCATCTATATGGGCGTGGGACTCCTCATGGTATGCCGTCCGCCCGGATCGATATTCGGATATATAACTAGAAATCTAAGATAAAATAAAAATATCCTGTTATTTTATTAATGAATAATCGCGGAACAAAGAACACACTTCTGCAGGTGAACTTTTCACCTTAGTATACCTGAAGACGATTAAGCTCGATCTTCCCCATTGTCTTTGGCCCTGCCAATGGATAATGTTCAGAACTCTTCTGTTCAGAGCAATGAGAGTAAATGTTACATGTAACTATGCACCAATGACATTTTCCCAGCTGGTTCGTGGTTATAAAGGTACATTATTAATTACAAGGCAATACGACAATATGAGCTGTAGCGAAACACGCCATGCCATTTCCTTATATGTACAGGAATAGCAAAGGAAGAAATAACACAAGCATTAAAGCATCTCTGCTGATAACGGTATAACCATCCACGACGACACGAGGCTTAACAAATTCTGTTATCGGTGTATCCTGACCAGTGCGAAACAAATGAGTGAGTGAGTTTAGTTTTACGCCGGACTCAACAATATTCCAGTCATATGGCGGCGGTCTGTAAATAATCGAGTCTGGACAAGACAATCCAGTGATCAAGAGCATTAACATCGATCTACGTAATTGGGATACGATGACATGTGTCAACCAAGTCAGCGAGCCTGACCACGCGATCCTGTTAGTCGCCTCTTACGACAAGCATGGGTTACTGAAGATCAATTCTAGCCGGGATCTTCACGGGTCGAGAAAAAACACTGACACATCGGACACAGCTGACCCTAGACACAGCATGTGTCGACAGTTGAATATTCCGGGTAGGGGAATCTGAAGAGTGTTTGAAAATCTGCTGTTCGCAAGTATTACTCACAAAAGTATTTCGTTCAATGGATAAGGTGGGTGTTTTATAAAATAACAGTTTGGGGTCACAAGTTATATTTGAATTATCTATGAAATCTTTGATCTTGGGTTCGAATCCCGGTTGGCCCTGATTATGGGTTTGTCAGCGCCATACTCGTGCTCGTGGGGTTTACCATGGAAGGAAACGGCTCAGACCTGCATCACGGACTTTCTTCCGTGATTTTCGATCCCTTGCCGCGTCATACCAAAAGACTTTAAAATATGGTACTTGTTGGTGCCTACCTGGCGCTCAGCATTAATGGGTACAACATGGACTGGTCGGCTCGGAGTCAGTATAATGTGTCTGAGTAGGGCATTCATGCTTAATTGCGGCATGATATCTCAGTGAGCTAGCACTGTAAAACCAGCTTAAGTCTGGACTAGTACAAGCAGCCGCACATACACACGCATACACGTCGTCATATGAGCGAAAAAGTACTACGTTAAAGTCACCTTTCCTTCCGTGAACATAACGTGGGATTATATAACTGAAATACCATTGTTCAAGGCAGTTTAAGCGAGTTCACGGAGGCACTGATTATATAGAGGAACTTGTATGGGCGCCCAGATGAAGTCAGATAATGAAAACGTTTGAACACGATGCCGTTCCGTATTGATCTTGCCGTTCTTAATCGATATTGATTATTCTCTGGCGGTGCCGCTGTGTATCGCATATAGCCTAGACAATAACACAGTAGTACCGGTATCAATGAGACAGTTTTCGGTGTGAGTTACAAAGGTTACAGGTGAGATATATAGTGAAGAGTGTGGTGGGTAATGAAGATGTAGACACGTTATGCGATTGCAGCTTGAAGGCAGTTGAAGGGTATAGCGGTTCATTGTTGGATCTGGTGATCTGAGCTGACACCTCATGTCTTGATAAATCAAAAGGTGTAAGATTAATATGGGATGTTAAATGTCACTTATTGCTTTGTCACTATTGTCGGAAGTATGGAAAGTAAGCATGAAGTCCGTATGAACATCTAATATCGATGGATAGACCGATCTTTGGCTTTACAGGTGGGAACATAGTATGGCAAGCTCTAGTAAGAACCCCAGTTTATGTATGACCAAAGTATAACGCACTTGTCCTCAACCCAGTGATTTGTACCTGAATATCGTTATGTCGGTCAATATTTCATGACCATCTGACCTTGGAAAGCTTCCAGACCGACTATTCATCCACCTTTCCCTGTAATTAGGCACTTTACTAGGTACGACTTCGAGAGAATGGTTCTGGTTTGCTTTATGTATTGTTTAATGCCAATCAATATTCCTGTTTTGTGTGGGACCGAGCTCCGTAAATGATACAGTTAATGGCATCATGAACCCGTGAAGGTCCGGGTCAGAATTGATCTTCAGTAACCCATGCTTGTCGTAAGAGGCGACTGACGGGATCGGGTGGTCAGGCTCGCTGACTTGGTTGACACATGTTATCGGATCCCAGTTGCGTAGATCGATGCTCATGCTGTTGATCACTGGATTGTCTGGTCCAGACTCGATTATTTACAGACCGCCGCCATATAGCTGGAATATTGCTGAGTGCGGCGTAAAACTAAACTCACTCACTCACTCATTATTGGCCTCATGAGCATCTGTCCACGCAGTTGAGATACGATGGCTTGTATCAACTAAGTCAGCGAGCTGTCAGGAGCTCGGATCTGACCTGTGTGTGAATTGCTTGCAGTTCCCTTACCAAGTTTTGTCATACGAATTCACATGAAGTGTAGCCTAACGGTTAAAGTATTATCCCGTCACGATGAGACTATTTGCCCACAAAGGTACACCATTCCCAGTCTAACAGTACTCCTTAGTGATATTGCTCGGATATTGTTGAGAGGTGGATAAAACCAAACGCATTGCCTCCCACGAATGTCACAAGTAAAGTTCTGTTCCTGGCACAGCTGTACCAAACCAGAAGGTATGCTAACGACACAAGTATTGTGTGTGTGTGTGTGTGCGTGTGCGTGCCTATGGATATGACTACTGGTACAGTTAATGCAATGGCGCCTTTACTGGAGAGTGAACTGCGTACAGTTATTCGTTTACAGAGTTGCGTCCCTTGGGTATGCCAGAAACCTATGACTGACACCGCATCGCCCCGATTATCGTGCTAGGTTTGTCGGCAGTATAATCGTGCTTGTAGGCTTCCTCCAAGCTGTAAACATCTGAGAACAATACCTCTCCGGTCTTTCCTGCCACATAAAGCTCAAATAAAGCCGATATATAACAATATACTCTAAAAAGCGGCGTTAAACGCAATTCACTCACTCTTACCTTATTAAAGATAAATATAACTGAAGATTTGCAAGTACCGTATTTGTGATGGGGAGTTGCCCTTAATGGGTAACAATACACCATGTAATTCATCACGTCTCTCTCTCTCACTCTCTCTCTCTCTCTCTCTCTCTCTCTCTCTCTCTCTCTCTCTCTCTCTCTCTCGATCGAACATTTAGCTACTAGTAACTGTTTGGTTGGGTGTAACACAAGGTCATGTGTTCGAATCCAAGATGCGTTTTGATAACTCGCAAGTCCTGACCCAGATCGTAGTGAAGACGCCCAGAACATGCATTACTAGATCGTAGTGAAGACGCCCAAAACATGCATTACTAGATGGTAGTGAAGACGCCCAGAACATGCATTACCAGATCGTAGTGAAGACGCCCAAAACATGCATTACGAGATGGTAGTGAAGATGCCCAAAACATACATTACTTGATCGTAGTGATGACGTCCAAAACATACATTACTAGATCGTAGTGTAGACGCCCAAAACATACATTACTAGATCGTAGTGAAGACGCCCAAAACATGCATTACTAGATGGTAGTGAAGACGCCCAGAACATACATTACTTGGCTTTCCTACCACATGAATCACCAGCTGAAACTATCCTTACAAACGACATTGACGTCCCCCTTTCTCAGTGTTAGAACATTTTGCTTTTAACAAAGGAATTTGGATATGGAAAGGATTTTGGCGTCGTCAACATCATCATCACCATCACTATTGTTCATTTTCACTAATATTATCCTTCAGATATCCCTTGCGTTCGGCCTAGCAATCATGGCGATGATCCAGATGTTTGGACACGTGTCCGGCGGACACATCAACCCTGCCGTATCCATCGCCATGGCCGTCTCTATGAACATCTCCGTGTTGAGGGCGTTCATGTATGTCGTGGCTCAGATTGTAGGGGCTATCATCGGGGCCTTGATCCTCAAGGGGTACGTATATACACACTGACATCATGTCTCAAAACATAGAAATATTTACATCATTATCTCAGTTTACTGCAACACCTTTATCTCAATCGGCATTGACTAGATCTCCCACATTAACCAAGTAGTTTCGACCAAAACTGTATAGTCGAATCCCTGCTTGTGTCGAACAACGGATATGTCGACGTATTTCCGATGGTCATGTTTGATTATTGTCCTTCAACTCGCCACTGCGTAAGATTTTTATTTGTTTGGTTCGTTTCTTTCAAATGCATGATGTGTTTGTAGCAAAGTTGAGATTTAGCGATTTACTGTCGCAATAACATGGTAAAAACATGGCGTCATGTTCTTACGGCAAACTGCCGATGTATCTTGAGGTCCATTTTGTCCTACGGCAAAAGTAAATAAGAACCGTATTTGAATACCACGACCATCTACACTGAAGAAATTTCAGTATCAACTGAACTCTATAAACGGGCAGAATTAATCTGAATTAAACAGACAAACTTAGTTAAACATGTTTTAATTCCACAAATGTGTGCTTAGTGTGAAAGTAAAATGCAGAAATCACGTTACATGTTTGCTGAACTTACTGCCAGTTGAGGTAAATCTTCCATGGCGATTACCAAACGTGTTTTGACATTGAGCACCCTGGGATGGAATCTTGCTGCTCTTGTTCATGTATGTGCAACGGGTGGCGGTGGTTGTGGTGCATGTCTGTCTGTGTGTGCGTGTGTGTGCATATGTGTACGTTGAGTGTGCATGTGTGTACGTTGAGTGTGTATGTGTTTCTCTACGTTGAGTGTCTGTGTCTCTTTGTATTGTGCGTGTGTGAGTATAATGAGTTTGTGTGTGCGGCGAGTGTAGCTTGTGTACAATGTGAGTCTGTGTGTGTGGTGAGTTTGTAATGTGAGTGTGTGTGTGGTGAGTTTGTACTGTGAGTGTGTGTAAGGTGAAAGTAAGTGTACGGAGCATGTATGTATATAGTATGGTGAGTGTGCGTGTGTGTGTGCTCGCGCGCGCGCGCGTGTAATGTTACGTCATGCATTTATTACTGATAGTGTACTTCACATACATAAATGTCATGACAGTTATTGGTGAACCCGGATAAACGGGTTTCAGTGCACACGTGCCTCAAGGCGGATTGTTCAGAACACTGGAGATACTTCAGCCTTATAAACCATTAGATTGGATTACTAGAAGTACCTATATAGAATGTTTGTGGAGAATATGAGAACATGCAATGTCTGGGCATGGTGGTCATCACGGGGTCCCCTTTGGAGAATTACTTTGAAGTAAGACAATTCTTAGAGAAGTGATGAGTAGCAGTGAGCGCGATGGGGCATCTGGGTAGAATTACTGAAATACACGACATTGGAGGCATTGAGCTGGAGAACCGAGGCGTATGTCTTGTTGAGATGAAGATCTGATTGTCTCTGACGGCCATACCTCACCCCGCGGCATCTGACCGCGACCGTGGACCCTGTACTGGTATCACATGAGTGGGTGACCAGCATATAGGAGTTGCTCCTGATTTTGATTAACGCCACATTCAGCCAGCTCAGGTTTAAATTTCGATGACAATAGTCAGTTAGCGAGTCTGGTTTGCACCACTTTTAGCAATATTCCAGCAATATGACGGCAGGGGACACCAGAAATGGGCTTCACACATTGTACCCATGTGGGAATCGAACCCGGGTCTTCAGCGTGACAAACGCTTTAACCACTAGGCTACCCCACCGCCAAGAGTGAGTGAGAGAATTTGGTTTTACGCCGCTTTTAGCAATATTCCAGCAATATGACAGCAGGGGACACCAGAAATGGGCTTCACACATTGTACCTATGTGGGGAATCGAACCCATGTCATCAGCGTGACGAACGTTGTAACCACTAGGCTACCCCACCGCCATGAGAGATATAAATATATTACGTCACGCCCAGGAACAACCACTCTTGATCATCTCAGCGGTCAAAGTGAATAGAAGGATGAAAGCCACATGGGCGGTCGCTAAAATTATATGAAACCACGTGTTCGAAAAGGTTAAACAGCTCCTGTCCCTCCTCGCGAGAAACTGATATTCCCATTTATTCCAGTCAGACCCCAACAGTGAGATGTTACACCCAACCGGAAGTCCAGCGCTTCTGACAGCACTCGTGGCGGTGGACTTATTGTGGTTTTGTTATTCAATACTGTTCAAATGAAGGAAATCAATTACGGAACTATCTTTCCTTTTCTGTATTATTGATGTGGATTTGTTTCCGTTCAAAGCGTTCAATCGATCGGCTAGGCACACCCTCTTCTGCTGATACCTGCTTAAGGTGTATTAGGAATAATGAAACACTTGGTCGGATGATGACAATCGTTTCCGACCTTTTCCGTCGCGACGTTATTGCCAGATACAAAAGTCATTTGCCGCCATGTTTTTTCAGGAATTTCCGGCTCTGACTTGTTGTCCCAGTTCATTTATTTAATCTGACTGAAAAGTCGATAAAAGTGTCACAACTTTTTACATTATTTTGCTAACTTTAGGGAGAATATTTTATCTCTTAACACGCAGTACCTTTCTGAACTGAATACTAATCACTGTGACAACGGCTATAGCAATTGACGGGCGATTTTATCGTCAAATGAACGACACTACATATTATGGAATCCTAAAAGGGACATTGTCGCGTTGTCGCTCTCTCTAAAACAAGCAAAAAGATGCAAAATAAACCAAAGCGCGACAATACGACAACGCGACATTTCGGCCATTTGTCGCATTGTCGCGCTTTGGTTAATTTTGCCTCTTTTTGCTTGTTTTAGAGAGAGCGACAACGCGACAATGTCCCTGTTAGGATTCGATAACATATCAACTAGGAAAGGAACAGTTAGTGAGTGCATGGATACTGCCCAGTCAGAATTAACGTTCATCGATTTTAGTTATTTAACAGAGACGTGTTGCAATGTTTCCCAAAAACATGACGAATGGAGGTGACTCATTAACCGGTTAATCTTGCAGCTTCTGTCTCTAATATTTGCATCACTGACCACATTGATTCAATCCGCCCAAATGCCAAGTGCAATATGCACAGTAATCTAAAACTTACCATAATCATATTGACATTAAGTAAGAAAATACCTCAGCTGAACAATCTAGAAAATGAATTATATTACACTCTTAAATGCAGATCCAGATTAGGTAACAGATCGAAGGGCTTGTTGTACCTCTTCAGACACTAATCGCTATCTCATTGGCCATTTTATAGCATCCAATTAAAACAGTAAAATGCACAATACGAAAAGGTCACTTTGAAACTAAATATGACGGCGTCTTGTCACGATCGATTCATTTCATGATCACGCTTAAAGATATAGATGGATAATGAATTTGTCTTGTGCATATTACACGAACAAATTTCAAACTGATACACTTAATAAAAGGTATTGATTACACAAGTTGTTTGGATCGTTGTGGGTATAGGTACTGCGGAATGTAGGCCAGTCAGCTTCTTGTACAATCAAGTGTACCTAGCTATGCAATGTATGCACTGTTTATTTTGACGAATATCACGTAATCCGAATCGCGTGTGCAAAATAGCAGGTATGTTAATAGCCGTAATCCCCAACAATTTCTGTTTCAGCACTGTTAGTATTGCCACGCTCAGGTACACATGAGTGTAGGCGGTAGCCTGTGGTACATACTGGCTACCAGTCAACGACATCGCGTTCAAGTCTCAATAGCAGATCCCGTGTTGACTTCTGGTCCCAAATCCACCTATGGTTATCATGGGGACCATGAAGTTATCGCTGTGCGGGTTGGCCTCTCTTAGGTGTATCAGGATCCGATGATCTTGGATTCGAAATCCTATGATACTTAATTTATGAGCACCATTCTAGTGCATGTGTGATTCATCGACGTGATACAGGCCTAAGTCCCGATCGCTTTGTAGTCTATTGGACTTGAAAGCTTACGTAACAAACTATTTCTAAACTTTTGTTTAGATCGGCGTGGGGACTTACACACTCTTCACTGGTGGGTCAACGATTCATTACCGTGTTGTGGATGAGTGAGTGAAGTTTTACGCCGCTTTCAGCTATATTCCAGCAATATCACGGCGAAGACACCATATATGGGTTTCACATGTTGTTACCTTGTGGTTTGGTCGGTTGGTTGGTTGTTTAATGTCGCACTCAGAAATATTCAAGCTACATGGCGGTGGTCTGTAAATAATCGAGTCTGGACCAGACAATCCAGTGATCAACGACAAGAGCATCGATGCACGCAATTTACCGTGTGGGGTACACTTCGGCATGTTGAGGGAACGTTACCTGGTGAGAGATGGATAGAGGTATATAACATGGGCCCCAAACAATGGGGTTTTACGCCCTTGTGGAACCAACATTCAACACAAATAATAGAGGGAGTTAAAGGTAAAATCGTGATAAATTTTATCAATCGATCCCTGAATATCAACTATGACACCAGGTGCATTTTTTTTATCCCAATTAGCCTACAATGTTTTTATATGATATGGGTTAAAGGCGAATTGAGATGGGCGCGAATACAGACTAAACCATCGTGCTCTGTCACACAGGTAACAGCTGCCACCCACCCAATTAGCATAAATAGTGTTCAGGTAATCTGTCTGACACCCCACAGCAATACCCCGTCATGCTACGACGGTATGTAAACAAACCAACCATGCGCTCTCACGCAGCACTCTTCGTTTCGGACATAAGTACAGTTTTACAATGACCCTCATTAGCAAGGGAAAACGTACCTGCCCTCAAGGTTGCTAATCAATTAGCCCTGCCTGAGACAGGAGATTGTTTTCTCCCGCTGTATCCGGGCGGGATGCTAGCATTAATCAGCGGGTTGAGGTAGGTAAGCATCCACAGACCGAGACGTCTTTATCTCACAGTACTGTCTGCGGACGTAGGTGCTCGTTATAGATTGTCATTAGCTACACACAGACCAGGTAATCACAGGGAACAACAAAGTGTGGAGCTGATAGATTTTTATCAGCCCGTAAGAGTGACGGACTATGGGTTTACGCAGCATGTAGCAATGCTCCAGGAATTTCACGGGCGTCACATTTGGCATCCGTACGGGTAACCTGACCCTGGTCTCGGCATGACGGGGAATGCTTTAACCAGTACTTATAGGGGCCGAGTAGCTCCATTATTTTTCAGGAATGGAGAGTTACTCGGACATTACCCTCTACGGGTCCCCCTTTACACAAGTCGACTATGCGGTTGGTTGTTGTTTAACGCCGCAATATTCCGGCAATATGGTGCCGGTCAGTAAATAATCGAGTCTGGACCAGACAATCCAGTGATTTACAGCATGAGCATCGATCATATCATCTGATACCGTTAGTCGCCTCTTACGTCAATCATTGGTTACTGAAGACCAACTCTAACACGGATCGGGTATTCGCCTCTGTCAATAACTGTCAATACCAGTACGCACTAGTTCCGATACATGTGTACTCTGATCAACAACATCACGTCCAGCGACTTATGATATATCACCTACGTAACCACGCAACACAAGGAGTAATACCTGTCACGATAACACTGTTTTCTACACATGCAGTAGGTAGTTCTAGACATGGGGAGTCGGTCAGTAAATAATCTGACTAGACAATCCAGTGATCAACAGCATGAGCATCGATCTACACAAATGGGATACGATGGAATGTGTCAACCCAGTCCACCCGATCCCGTTAGTCGCCTCTTACAAGCATGGGTTACTGAAGATCAATTCTAACCCGGATCTTCACGGGTTCAGAGATATTTAACATCATGTGGCATCTTTGTCGAAGGTGCCGACTATCCATCCGTGTCAGCAGCCGCTGCATCGTTGGGTCGATTCTGACAAAGCCATGCTTACTCTTGCACATGGCATACGTGACATTCTTCCTCCACGATGCTACTGAAATACCATGCAGCGGTAACGACAACTCACCTAATTTCTCTTGGACGGTTACAGTTTATAGTTAACGTTAAAGCACTTTATTTGTTTCACCATCTAGTCATTTATGAAAGACCTATCATCAGGAAGTTTGTTGGGAGTTAGACGTAACTTGTTCTTTAGAATGTTTTCGAGTTGATATCGATATAAATTATCAAAAAATAATTAAAGAACCACTAAACTTTGTTTTTTGTTACTCTTTTAACCATTACATATGAAAGTTTTGTGGTTAGTCTTATGCGGAACACCAAATTTATTCTTTAAAAACTTGTGGTTAATTAATACCGAGCGATTAAAAGTGGCCAAAAAAGTCGCCTGCTTCTCTCTCGCCCGCCAACGAAACCACAGACAGGTTACGTAACTCTGTCGCCAGAGCACTGCAGTGACGTCATATGAGGAACGATTTTCAGTTAGTTGTAAAGAAAGTGTGTAGCATGCTCATCATTTTGATGATTTCTCGACATCAACGACGACATGTCGAATCGTTGCTTTGTCGTCAATTGCTCCTAGGGGTCGGGCGATGGTGTCACCATGCACAGATTTCCACAGGACCCCGCAGTTCGTGCTAAATGGGTTATGTTTGTGAGTGCGAAGCGAGCGTTGTGGAAGCCTGAAACGATATCTTACTTGTGTTCAGATCGCTTCACGGAAGTTAAAGAATCAAAACTACTTACTAGTTGTAGTAAAATATGTATATGATTGATGACCATAAAGATTTTCCATGACACAACTTGTAACATAACGATTTCTTCCTCGGAAGTGAGGTTGTGGTCGAAGTAACAATAATATTGTAAGTAGTATTATATTGACACCCACCTCGCTGCCAGGAGAGAAATGTTATAGGCTATGTCATGCAAAATCCTATTGGCCATCAATAAAATAAATATTTTACTACCAGTAGAAAGTAGTTTTGATTTTGTAACTCGGTGAAAACAAATCTAAATAGCATTTATCCTCAGACTGGCGGATGTTCCCGACAGGGCGCCGCCATTTTTGAAAATCGTAAAGTCTGTTAGAATTAAAGAGATTATAGTTTGTTTTCATCAAGTTAGAAAATCAAAACTACTTTCTACTCGTAGTTAAATATGTATTGGAATCATAACCAAACGGATTTTGCATGACACAACTTATAACATAACGATTTCTTCCACGGAAGCGAGGTGGGGGTCGAAGTTACAATACTGCGCGATAAATTTCTTGCTACATTCACATGGTTAATGTCCACTCACCAGTATGTAGATACTAGTCAATGTGCGTCTTTATATTTGGTCTTATAATCCTAATTAGTTTGTGATCATACTTGTATGCATTTTGAAACTAAATATAAAGCAGACGATCTGCTGATACTTATAGTGAATTTATAACAGAACTGTAATAGCTAGACATTTTATAGTTTGCCAATGTGAATCATAATTCGCACACACACCCTAGTGTATGTTGTCTGTCTCATTACACTTCACGGCGAAAATCACATACATACAAAATATATTTTTTATGAATATGTTCAGGAATGTCTATCAATGATACCCACTGATAATGGTTGTGCCCACATAGCTTGAAAAACAAAGTGATTAATGTCTTAAAGGTTAAACAGTTATATATCTAAAATATTAAAATCTGAAAAGGTTATAAAAACATGGATTTTCGACATTGGGTCTTATATAGTTGGCGATAGAGTACGGTAGGCTTAACGCCGAAGTGAGCATTATTAAACTTGTAGTAGTAGTAGTAGTAGTAGTATATTTTTTTATTAAAGTTAGTACATTTCACAGACAATACATTATACAACAGTAAGAAGCGTGCGCCTAGCCACAAACAGGCTTATGAGACACTAGAAACATATATACGATAAATTAATATAAGATGTACATATATCATGCTAAAATATTTTGCAATTCTTTTCTTTCATAAGAAATAAACTTGTCGGTATCATTTACGTTATAAAATAGACTGTCGTACAAAAGAAAGTACACACCTGGTGTTTGGGGATTATTTGAAAAGTGTTGTGATTTTGACTGGTAACTTCGTAATTGGGCACGATATCTGTGGTGTTTTGGCAACATATTAGGAAAGTCTGTGACTTATATATCACTGTTAAAACTCTTTTCAAAACATTTGCGTCGCTCTTTGGAAAGAAATCCCAAAGCACCAGGTGTGTACTTTCTTTTGTACTTCAGTTTAGATGGTTACATTTAAAGTCAGCTTCAAATAGGATCAAACGTAAATCCTCATTAAAGGTTACATTTCATTAAAAATTGCAGTTGTGACAGTATGTTACCTGATGTGTGAAGTGCACGTGAGTCAAGTACGTTGGTGAAACCAGGCAGTACGGGTGTGGTGTTCACAAACCTAGGAACTTCATCAGAGCGATTTTGGATTCGAACCCACGATCGTAGTTTTCTTGCATGCCTAACGAAGAACACAACTACCCAATAACGGCTTCAGAATTTGGGCCATCCTAAAAAAGGCAACTATTTTAGAATAAGCACGTGTTTCCAGCAATGGTCCAACAATAGCACCGCGGAAGACCCAGAGAAGTGACTCTGTACACTGAACCCATGTTTTCGAGCGAACCTGATATCAGCAAACGGTGTAACCACTAGCTAGGCTACCAAAACGTATGTTGAAGAATGGATATAATTATCGTAACTTGGCTAATGTTCTGTCATACTTTGTTTCAGAGTTACGCCCTCGGCTTTCCACGGGAACCTGGCCGTCACAAACATCAACAGCGCCCTTGGGGTCACCCAGGCCCAGGGCTTCGGGGTGGAGTTGCTCCTGACCTTCACCCTCGTTTTTGTCATCTACGGCACCGTTGACGGCAATAGACCCAACTTCGGCAGCGCCTCACTCGCTATTGGTCTAACAGTTGCTTTGGGTCACTTCTCTGCGGTGAGGACAGTGATTGTCGCGTAACCTTACGTCCAGGTGTTAGATGGGATTACCAATTAAATGCGCTTTTCAGACACTCGGGACAGACAAATTGGGATTTGATAAGTTTAAATTTCTTTAATTCAGAAGCATTTTAACATTTTGTTTACACAGTGCACTATATGCAATACCGTTAACTAAGCATAAATGGATATTCCTCTTAAATGGTACTGTTAGTTAAATAAACATCTCTACAAATGTTTTGTAATTCCATTAGGGCATTTTACCGATATTTGCTGCCCACCTGAGCCCCGTTTCACAAAGCTCTCGTAAGCCTAAGACGTAACATTTCTCGTAGCATTCGTACCTTCTATGTTACAGTATAGGGAGAAAAGTTACGAGATCTTAGGTTAACGAGAGCTTTGTGAAACGGGGCCTTGGGCGGAATATCGGGCTCTGACTATTTCTTCATAATTCCCTTCAGGTGTCGTTAGCATAGTCATTGTGTAGATTGATGCTTATAGTGTCACTCACTGGATTGTCAGGTCCAGAGTGTCGATTGTTTACAGACCGTGGTCAAATACCTGGGTGAACAAACAAACAAAACAATGTATGAATGTTAATCAAAGGCTGCAGCGACTCAAGTACCATCCCATAGTTTCAGTTGGTTTAGGCAACTTCAGTGACTGTACTAGATATGTGAAGGTAGTCACATGTGTTACAACTCACTCACTCTACTTCAGATCTCCTACACTGGGGCCAGTATGAACCCTGCCAGGTCTCTCGGGTCAGCTGTCGCCTCAAACTCCTATGCAAACCTGTGGGTGAGTTCCTTTACGGTTGAAACGTCGTGGATATCTATTTGTAGATCATCGTAAATAATGATAGAATCAACTTATATGGTTTGATTGCATGATGAAAGCAACACGTTTTTGGAACTGAAATGATGAAGGGTAGCGCCACGACTTTGCATCGGGCCCATCCCGTGATGAAGAACAAAGCCCCTTGATGAGGATGTTGCATCTTTCTTTGAAACGGACTGGCCTAATGTTGATATCCGCTTTGATTTTCATTGCTTAGCACCCTTTGTGTTTACATGAAGAAGTAACTGAACGTTCCATGTGCATCGGCAACATCTCGAGCTTTCATGATTTGTCGTGCATGCTGGCTGTTAAACAATGGCTGTATTGCCTAGTTTCATGTTACACCTAAATTGCTCGAGGTGAAAACGTGAGATCTGTAATTACCGAAAGTTAACATCTCATTTACAACAAACCTTGTCAATGACTGGGTAATAAGAATAGTCAGCTGTGTACAACTTAACATTTACTAAGGATCGAATCTGGATAATATCTTAAAACTCCCGGTACATGGTGATTTGGTAACCCACAAAGGACCTCAATTTCACCGTGAATGGACAGTAGCAAGCAGTCGTGGGCACGATCTCCATGAGGTGATTGAAATGGGTTTCAATGGGGCCCACAGCAGCAGGAAGACCCAGAAGCTGTTAGACGTTTAAGAGGGGTCAATAATGCCACTTGTCACGGAAAGAGACTGACGTTTTTGGACTGTGGGGCCAACAATAGCTGGTGAACACGGAAGAGACAGGGTTTCAGTTAGTTGGGTCAAGTGGACACGGGGTTTTGTCCGAGGGAGAGATCAAAGGGCTGCGAACCAATTGTGGTTGAATCTTGACCTGTTCTGTTTCTACATCATTATTCAGTACTTAATTTGAATGAACTGACACGATGCACTAAACATGTTATCATGACTTTGAATAAGACATTATTGATATCTGATACAGATTTACTGGGTCGGACCAATCGCTGGAGGAGTGCTAGCAGCCGTGCTCTACAAATGGGTCTTTGATCCCTACAGAGGTGTACCCACCATGGATGAAAGCGCGCAGACTTTGTGTAAGTAGAACGATACTATATAGTTCTTCTTTTTGTATCTACCACTCCGTATGTACACAGACTGCAGTCCGAACTTCGAGATAACCGGAACGTCGATATAAGACTTTAATATGGAATCACCGGCACCAAAAGGCAACATCGCCTTAAACGACCCGTTCAGATTGTTGTGGTCGTGCTGGTTACAGTCAGCGGCCAATAGTGGTCTGCCAGTCGGTGGGGTAACGCAGTGGATAAAGTGTCAGCTCGTCACGATATTGCTGGAAGACCGGGTTCGATTCCTCACTTACACATGGGGGTACAACGTCGTGAAGCCCATTTCTGGGTACAACGTGTGAAGCCCATTTCTGGTGTCCCCCGCCGTGATATTGCTGGAAAATTGCTAAAAGCGACGTTAAAGTACATTCACTCACTCACTCATTAGTGGTCTGCGGCGTTCGCAACTATTCCGAACCAAGCACATTTTTGGCCAAGTACCCTCACCTGAAACTAGTCCATATACATAAACAATAGAGAATTCTAAATGACGCCGATGGTCAATTGCATGCTAAAAGAATGAGACACGTCGGGCACGGACGTATATTTATCTTATATTTTAGTGTATGTACGTATACCATTTTGAAATTAATTCAAGATATTTTCGGTCAACAGTGCAAGACGAATCCTTTGTGGCAATACCACGTGACTACTTCAAAGAAGGCAAGAAGGAGAACATGAACGCCTCCTCCAACCTGTGATGTCATCAACTGCCTGTCACGTGATGTCAATATTTGCCTGCTGACGGACATGCCTCGGGGCGTGGTCTGAGAGATGACCTGAGACTGACATTTCTTCGATTCCAAAGAAGAGCTTCTGTTTGGTTCTCTTCATGCTGAACATAACACCAACTTTTACCAAATTCCTCACTGCAGGGATGCTTGGCATCACATGTATATAGAAACACCAGAAGTGCTCAAACCCGATGATTGGTTTACAATTTCTTGGTTATTTCACATTTTCAACATTATACTTTATTGGGGTATCAATGTTCGAGTTATATTTGAAAAGTTATCGGTTTTTTAAGTTCATAAAAAGTAAGAAATGAAACCGGAACAAATATTTCTTGAAACCGTGATCACAAACAAACGGGTTTATTGGATTCAGTTGGTAGCACCCACCATATGCAGTAAAAGTAAATATATATATTTGTATGTATGTAAATTGTAACTTCAGAGTAAATGTTGACTTTTATGAAAGAATACATTGCTCGAAACCTATTTCGTAATATCATTTGTCACTCGTACCTTGCCATTGTATTCAAGGAAAAATTGTAAAATGTTAATATCTTGATGTGTTGTAATTGTAAAGGAGAATGATTCGTACAGATTGATACAAAGTATCACTGTAAAGTATTTATGTTGTATCATATGAAGGTGATATTAATGTTGGAACTTTATTGCAAAACACCATGGCTTGTAACGCACATAACTAGCATCAGTATATTATCACTGTCTGGGTCTTATCAGTATGTATAGTGCTGAGACATCAGTAAAGTACAGACCTTAGTACTTTTGTTGAGTCCCATCCGGGATTCAAACCCGCACTCTCAGAGTCAGGCACCAAACTTCAAAACCCGCGGTGGCTAAGTGGGTTCGCTGTGTTTGTGTGCCGATTTGCTGCCGTATTCTGAGAGTGTGGGTTCGAATCCCGGATGGGACATAACTTAACCCAAGTACGAGCATCCGTACTTGACTGAGAAAGTGTATTCCCATATCCTACATTTGACCACGTTCTAAATGGCATTGTGTCTTCATGCCGAGACCATGGCGGTGAAACAAACACCTTGATGCTATTGTGTCTGTTACAAGCCCTGTGTTTGCAAATAAACCTCTCTACCTGTATGCTCTGTTATATGACAATTGTTCTTCTTGTTATTGTTATTATGTTGATTGTTCACCTGAATATGTTCAAAGACACCTCTTGTGGGTTGCTTGAGCAATAAATATGACGATGTTGATGATATTGGTATCGGAGGTTTGACTGATTTCGGAAGACAACATATAAGAAGTAAGGTAATTTACGGAGTGTATCTATTATAGATTATAGCAGAAATGAAAGGAGAAATACAGATTTGTATTAGTCAAACTGTCAAACACCAGTGTGTGGAAGTTGAGGGGATTTACGTAAATACTGGAGTTATCCAATGTTCGACAGTAGCGGGCGCGGTGGGGTAGCCTAGTGGTTAAAGCGTCGGCTCGTCACGTCGAAGACCCGGGTCCGATTCCCCACATGGGCACAATGCGTTAAGCCCATTTCTGGTGTCCCCCGCCGTGATATTGCTGGAATATTGCTAAAAGCGGCGTAAAACTAAACTCAGTCAGTCAGTCGACAGAAGCGAAAAGCCATGAACAAAGAAAGCATACGAAGGGACCAAGCTTTACTTCGAGACAACCTGCAAACTCGACTAATCAAAGTTCGATACAACAGTGTTTAACTGTATTTCAGTCTGTCAGTCTGGGATGTGGGTTTAAACCAAGATCATCTCTGTGTTTGGAGAAAGACGGAATGATATGTAACGTTTGTTATGTTTGTAAACGTATATCATGTTCCTCATATCAACAACTCATTGAAATAGAAACTTCATAAAAGGTATAACATACCACTGAATTAAAATATCTTAATTACAGATATTTTTCTGCATAGAAAAGTCATTTGGTTGTGTATAAATTTGGATAGATAATAATTATATCCTTTTTTTTACCTTTTATACACTTTTGTATTTTACAAATATTTTATTCCCGTTTTAATTCAAATGGTGTGATGTTTCTGTGTTTTGTCAGTTAGCCCAACTGATTTAAGCTGCACTGCTTGACGAGTATTGCACATCCCCTTTGATATTATTCTGTTCTTACTTGACTGTTCACTGGATGTAGACCTTCCTACTGTTTGGCTTTAACACACAAACTTAGGTAGCCTAAGAGACTGTTAAGTACCTGAGACCAATACTCAGCTTCTGTGGAGGCAGATCTGGCGTTATTGTACCCATACTGACATTGGTCGATGGTCATACTGTCACCCGTTTAAGGTGCTGGAAAGAACGTCTCCGCCACTTGCTGGAGAGTTGTATTTCTTATCTGTGTCAGGATCTGCTGAGCTTGTGTCGGAGCTCCTAGATGATAGAGCTACCTGAAATGGTAGGGTCCTCCGAATTGGTAAACGTGAGACTAACTGTACTTCGGGCTTCCCTCCCACATAAAGCTTACGCCCTTTGCGATACAACTGAAATATTGTTCAAGCATCGTTCAAGTTGTCAATCAAAAGTTGCGATTAAAACCACCTCGAAAATAAGGCAAAAATTATACTAAAAGTGACCCAAACACCATTTCTCTTGAAGACATCATCAACGGTGCCTGCAGTATAGTTACACCAGGCAAATATGCTAGTAACCTTGGTTTCAGCGTCCGTGGACTAAACAACTGGTTGTCCTATCTCTGGATTAACATTATCTTTCATCATCTGTGTTAGAAAACGTTCTTTGCCATAATGGGCAACGAACATTGTCAATTTACAGTGTGGAGGAAGCACTAAAAGCATCTTCAGTTACCATGGCAACACATCATAATTCCAAATATGTTCACGTTCAACGATGTACAATGTAAATTATATATCGAGCAATAAAATAAATGTATATTTTCTACAATGCAGGTGTTGTTTAATGTTACGAGACCTGCAGAGGAGAGACAAAGTTGGCAAATGTTACGTATCCCAACGCCACGGGTTGTCGTCATCTGTAATTATCAATAAACCGGTCTCTATCACGATGATAGTGACCGAGTATGGTTTCGTTGACATAACCCACTTACTAAGGTCAATGCAGTCAACAGTTCACCACAAAATACAACATGTATTTATTTTCAATCCTATTACAAGTACCGTTCTTTTATCTGTTGTTTAAGTAATTCTAAAAAAAGGGGCATATGTCGCAAACTGACAGAAAATCGATCGTTTCAATCAGTGGTCTCAACGGGAATAACACTTCATTATTTATTTTCCAAGAATAAATATACGTCTCAGAAATACGGAATCTTCCTCCTCAAAAACTTGCTATTTAATCGTGTCATGAGATCAGAGTGCCGATGGGATAACCCAGTGGTTAAAGCGTCCGCTCGACACGCCGAAGATCCGGGTTCGATTCCCCACATGGGTACAATGTGTGAAGCCCATTTCTGGTGTCCCCCGCCGTGATATAGCTGGAATATTGATTAAAGCGGCGTAAAACTAAACTCAATCACTCTACTCAGAACCAATCTTACTTGGTGGTGCATACAGCGGATTCAAAGACACACATGAATCAATCACACGGTCGCATTGTCGCGCTTTGAAAACTAGTTTTGCCCTTTACCAATGTGCAACAATGAAACTAAACAACACCAAGATCAAAATATGTGGTACTGTCGCATTGATATGGTGGCTGATTAGGGCCATCGCTTTCTCGCCTTAAAATTCGGAGTCGAGAAAGCATTATCACGAGACGCGAAAGCGATAACACGAGACGAGAAAGCGATAACGCGAGACGAGAAAGCGATAACGCGAGACGAGAAAGCGATAGCACGAGACGAGAAAGCTATATCATTGTGCGAGAAAGCGGTAGAGCGAGAAAGCGATATTACCCACAATTCAGTGCTGTCTGCGCATGACCGCAGTCGCCATTCGCAATGATATCGCTTTCTCGTCTTGAGTTATCGCTTTCTCGTCTCGAGCTATCAGTTTCTCGACTCGTGCTATCGCTTTCTCGTCTCGTGTTATCGCTTTCTCGCCTCCGAATTTTAAGGCGAGAAAGCGATGGCCCTAATCAGCCACCATACATTGACGCCCCATCTAAAATGTTTCGAATGTGTGACAAAGCGACAATGTCCTTACTTTTCTCGTTGTCACCACCGACGAGTGACCTATTTGCTTGCAGAGTTGCGTCCCTTGGGTTGCCTGCCTCAATGGTAGGGTCGAATAATCAATTGGATTCTGACGCTTCTTTTGTGAAAACCACACCAGAACCGCTCCATAACAGCAGCAGTAAACATGGGGAATAGATTAAACTATAAAACAAAACAATAAAAAAAGAAACTCATTCGAGATGGTTCGCCATTTCAACTGACTCTGGCTCATCTTTCATTCATTATGAATTGTGATATTTGTGAAAAATCCTGAAAGGTCGGATGAAATTGATATTCCAAATCTCTGTCATCACATCGTTCTTGCAACTGTGAACCATTCTGGGATAACTATATGAATGGCTAATAAGCTGTAATAGCATTTGTTCTTAGTTAGAAATTCAGTCAAAACATTATATAAGTGGAGTAGTTGACATTACGCTGTTATATATGGTGGTTGATCAGGGCCATCGCTTTGACTCGCGTTATCGCTTTCTCGTCTCGCGTTATCGCTTTCTCGTCGCGCGTTATCGCTTTCTCGTCTCGTGCTATCGCTTTCTCGTCTCGCGCTATCGCTTTCTCGTCTCGCGCTATCGGTTTCTCGTCTCGTGCTATCGCTTTCGCTTTCTCGCCTCCGAATTTTAAGGCGAGAAAGCGATGGCCCTAATCAGCTACCATAGTTATATGGTTAATTTCTGTCGTGAAGAAGATCAGACTGTAAAGGTTAAGCTGAAGATATGGACAATTTATGTGCATTTATTTTCTGAGAGTTTATTTGAACATAAGACACAAATGTGGACCAATTATCCAAGGCGTCGCAAGCGTGTTACATTTCTTAGAAGTGCCAGAAACGTGTGTCTTTGAATTCCGGTTCTCGCTGATTAGTTTTGTCACTGGTATGTCCTAGTTCGTGGGTGAGTGAGTGAGTTTTTGTTGTACGCCGCTTTTAGCAGTATTCCACAATATCACGGCGGGGGACACCAAAAATGGGCTTCACATATTGTACCCATGTGGGCACTCGAACCCGGGTCTTCGGCGTGTCGAACGAACGCTTTAACCACTATGCTGCCCCACCGCCCCCTTGCTCGTGGGCTTCACTTAAGTGATAAACGCAGTGACCTTTGTTAAGTATGGATTTCTCCATACATCAAACTGACACGCCGTGGTGGAGCTGAAATACTGTGAAAGGCGGCGTTAAACCAATTCATTGGATGGGCATTTAGATCATGATGTATTGTACTGTGAAGCATTTCGAGTCGGGGGGTCATCTCAAATTTGTATATCTTTTTTAAATCTTTAATCCTCGCAAAGACACGCGGGCCTGTGGAACAAGGGGGGTAGTTCTACTTCTTTATTACGAGACAACTAACGGGATCGGGTGGTCAGGCTCGCTGACATTGGTTGACACATGTCATCGTATCCCAGTTGCGTAGATGGATGCTCATGTTGTTGATCACTGGATTGTCTGGTCCAAACTCGAATATTTACACACCGTAGCCATATAGCTGGAGTATTGCTGAGTGCGGCGTTAAGCAACAACCCAACCAACTTTATTCCAAGAAGTACCATATTTCGATGTAGATGGTAACACCGTTATCAAGCAAGTGATGAGCAGTACTATAGGTAAAGCATTTCTATACAGGATTACCGTTATGTTTATACAGCTAAAGTACAGGCTGATAATGTTGATTGATTTTCACGCAATAGTGAGTGAGTTTAGTTTTGCGCCGCACTCATCAATATTCCAGCTATATGGCGGCGGTATGTAAATAATCGAGTCTAGACCAGACAATCCAGTGATCAACAGCATGAGCATCGATCTGCGCAATTGGGAACCGATGACATGTATCAACCAAGTCAGCGAGCCTGACCACCCGATCCCGTTAGTCGCCTCTTACGACAAGCATGGGTTACTGAAGGTTCATTCTAACCCGGACCTTCACGGGTCTTTCACGCAATAGATGAGGTGGGTGCAGAAAGCGCGATGTATGTGACAATAGGATACATGTTTACACACTGCAGAATTAACAAGGAGAAGATCAAGAGGAAAACAGTGACGTGATGGACAATGAGAATAATGGGATTATGATCGTGCTGAGTTGATGGTAGGCAGTGGAGATGTAATAACCTTGGTTTCAGTCTATGGCCGTTTAGAGGTCGAGGTACTTGATGTGAATGGCTTCTAGTAGTTTCCTGATCGTGCAGTGGGTCTGATTGCTGATGAGTACGTTGATGCTGTTTCACAATATCTGGATGAGCTGAGATGACGGATTTAGCGTCTTTGTCCTTCACAGAGATTTGGTGTTCTTCAATCCTTACAGGGTGGGGCATTGGAGTTTCATCGATGTACGAGTCACCACATCATTTAAACCAGACCTCTCCAAGCCAGTGTGCGAAATAGCCGTTGGTCCGCTAGCCCGTGGCTAGTACAAATTGAATTTTGGCTATTAAATTTTCATGGGGGTCATCTGTTAAACATGCACAAAGAACTTAATTAAAGCCCCCCCTCAAATAGGGTCCGACTGTGATCTAGTCGCCTGGTTGGTCATTATCATCGTCATGCATTGAAACGTTCGAAGATCACTCCCAAATTTCAAGAAACAGGTTTTCTACTGGCAGGCTGCCATCGTCATTCCAGGGTACACGTTATAACGCCCACGCTGTAGTCTCTATAGCTCCTCAGTTTCATTTGAACGCATTAAAAGTGGAGAGCAATAAATTCTGTAAAAATTGCTCTAGTTGTCAAATATTGTTGAAGAAAAGACCACGCCATACGTCTATAACCAGTTGAGGATAAACTAAACCTAATAATAAGGCCAGTCACACACAGATAGACATTTCCTTAATTCTGTCCGTCATTCTTTCCTTGAAACTTCCTTCATAAATTTAGCATTCATTTCTCAAATATGTATAACAAATCTATTGCTTGCATAAGTTCAACTTATAGGCTATATCGTACATTTGGTTTAACACTTAGTCTTTATTTAGTCTTTTTATTGATCAAATATTATGAGATTACGACATGAGATGTTTGAAAAAATGAAATACATGTATGTTGAACTAAACAGATGCATAGTCACGTGACGATAGTGAAAACTGGTTCATCCGGGCACAGTTAGTCTCCTTTCAACTCATGTACCCGGATGTGACTAAACTGAGGGGCAAAAGAAAGTATACACATGAACAATGGATTTGAACAATACTTGGATGAAAACAGTAGCTGAAACACTGGTAACTTTAGGTAAAAGATAATGGTTCTTCAAATACATCACAATCGAATAACAATTTGTTTTTTGTTTCACTGGGGCGGTGGGGTAGCCTAGTGGTTAAAGCGTTGGCTTGTCACGCCGAAGACCCGGGTTCGAATCCCCACATGGGTACAATTTGTGAAGCCCATTTCTGGTGTCCCCCGCCGTGATGTTGCTGGAATATTGCTGAAAACGGTGTAAAACCAAATTCAGTCAGTCAGTCAGTATTTATTTCACTTTCCGTCACTATTAAACACGATTTTACTTTCTTTTGCGGGTTTAAAGTTAAGGCTGACTTTGTGATTATCACTTGTAGTGATATAAGAAACATCTTCTACTTACCCATCAGAAATAACAGCATGAAATAAATATGTAACAATGTACGATACAATTTATAAATGTTTAGGGACACCACTGAAAAAAGCCACTTCTATTTCTGTTATAATTTTACTAATGTATTTATGTTATCTGTTTCTAGTTTGTAATCTTTACTAAGATTAGTAATTCTGGGTCAGAATTTATCTTTAGTAACCCATGCTTGTCGTAAGAGCGACTAACGGTATCGGGTGGTCAGGCTCGCTGACTTGATTGACACATGTCATGTTATCCCAGTTGCGTAGATCGATGCTCATACACTGGATTGTCTGGTCGATTTTTTACAGACATCCGCCATATAGCTGGAATGTTTATGTTCAAGATGGATTATTGGCTGGAATGTAGGTGTGTCTGTATAGATGAATATTGCGGGTTATTGCGATCAACACCGAGCACGCATTTCACCCGACATGTGTAAGATTTTTTTCTTTTTTGGCTGCGCGCCAGTGCCTCGTTCAATGTGCTGACTCACGTTGATAGTATGCCTTCTATGTCTTATAATAAGGTGGATATATTGCTCCCAAGGTGAGTCATTTTGTGACAGACGTGTTTCACTCAGGGCAGTTGGTTCAACTTGTCATTTTTCCAGACAGAGATGCTGGTAGAACTTGATTTGATTTGACGCATTGTATAATGACCACATGCACAAGAGCAGACAGTTCGAATGCCAATTTCGATACACATTATGATGGGCAGCGATGAACACGTAATTAGTAAAATATTGAGAAATGTCTTTGCAAATATTTGAAGACAAAATTAACATTGATTTTAACTTTTGCAAAGAATAAATGTCTATTGATATTCCAGGTTCTAAAAGCTATTTTCTTTAAAAAAATATATCGAACATGTCTCTTTGCGTTTTATTCAAAATCAGTACGTATAAAAATAATGGAACTCGAGCTATGACATATTTCAGTTCAGTGAGCAATGCATCGTCTTGTGTAAGCTTAGTTGACGGTGTTGACTGGTCATTACATGCACATGGAAGATCATAGAAAAAACTGGAACAGATGACCAACAAGTTGGTCTTGAGCATCCAATACTAGTGTAAGAAGTGCCTCGGTCAGATGACTGGGAAGAGAATAATGTAACATGAAGCATTGCTATGCCTTCCACGTCTTACTGTTTTTATTTTCACACAAGTTTTTTCACATCCAAATGAAAGATGAATCTCGTAAACAGTATGTGCTATAAAAATGGCTTACCTTTTTTCAGTGTGTAAAATTATGGTTTCAGTGATTCATGGCTAATCGTAATGCTATCTCCCAATTTGTGCATACCTTAAATTCCAGAATAAATGCCTTGAAAAGCCTATATGCTTTCACCCATGCTCTTGGTCCCAATTATTCGATTTCTGTTTTGGGGCGGTATTTAATCGACGCAAGATTTACAAAGCCCTTATCATAAACGTCGAATAATGATAAGAAGAATGAACAGATTAAACAAACAACAGGTATAGAGTAGTGTTTAGTTCACACGTTCTCGCCGATCTTAGACGAAACACTCTTTATTCGGTGCAAAGTGTTATTTTGTTAAGGCCTCAAAAACACGACATTAAAGGTACAAAGTAAACAATTAGGTTTGTGGTCATTGAATTAACTACATGTATGTTCACGGAAAGTAAAGCTGTATGTTTCGCTTGTATGCGCAAACATCCTCAGGGGTATTTCAATATTGTTTCCCTGGAAGGTAAATGTTTCCAGGGTGCATGGAATGTTGACGACAAGTCATGAAGCCATCACGGTGAGTTCAGACAGATAGAATGGAAACTGGCCTTTCAAGGGACATTGAAAAAAACAGACCATACACGCATAACAGTTTTGATTGTTGTTTGTAACTGTTAATCCCAAGATTCATCCAGTCAGAAATCGTTGCAAGAACCTTTCTGGATCAGCTTCAAACAGAGCTAAGAAGGGCGATAAGTTATCACATAAAAAGAATTACTCATCGGGTTTTCTGTATGCACTGGTCACGGCAATTAACATAAATTTGTAAACAGTTAGTCTTAAAGTGATATTGAGACATTTGCTATTTTACTGTTGTTCATAGATTCGTTACCTTTGTCGCTTCTGTCAGATTATGATAGATGATGGCGATACTAGATTACCGTCATTTCCTACAGCTGATGACGCGAGTGTCAGCGTCGGCCACATATGGCGTCGTTCACAGATGCCAGGAATGACGTACTTGGGATTACGATCATTGAATTGTATGTCCACTGTCGGACCCAGGGGCATTTTTCCTTTGATGTTTGTTAAGCCCAACTAATTAACCTCAGTAAATTCTGTGATGAGGCAATGTTCCGTTCATATATGTTTAATTCATGAGTGTTCCTTAGTTATCCAGAAATCTTCGATGTTTACACAATTTATATATTACCAGGGGCGGCGGGGTGGCCTAGTGGTTAAAGTGTTCGCTCGTCACGCTGAAGACCCGGGTTCGATTCCCCACATGGGTACAGTGTGTGAAGCCTACTTCTTGTGTCCCCCACCGTGATATTGCTTGCTAGAATATTGCTAAAAGTGGCGTTCAAACTCATTCAGTCACTCTCACTCTCAGACATATATATTCCTCCCATAATAATGTTTTACGCCGCTTCAGGTATTCTCCAGCAACTCGCGGCTGTAGGGTACGACTATGTCATGAAGACTGCGTGAACCAATCACATCTCAACATTCTGACGAGGAGATAAGATAAAAATACTTACCTTGCTCTGATATATACAATATAACTGTACATGATATAGTGCGTGAATGGTTAGGACTCAACCCAGTTGTAATCAATATTTATTTCAAATATTTAACACTCTCCAAAAGCCTTACAACCATCGCATCATTAATACATAATATTTGACAAAGATTCACGGCAGTCCGAATCTGCCATACGGACACTGGAAAATATACCCCTTATAGCCCATGCAAATCTAGAACATGTGAGAGACATTGGCTTCACACATTGTACCCATGTGGGGAATCGAACCCGGATCTTCGGCGTGACGAGCGAACACTTTAACTTGGCTTCCCCACTGTCACAAAGTCTAGATTACCACAGTTTCAGTTGGGTTTTGTTTTCACATTGATGAGGTAGTGATGTCACCGTTTTTCTGTAAAATATGTTCATTTAAGAGACTAGTGGTAAGTCAGTCATGACGCGAAGATAACCCACAAAGCTGTGATGTCATTAAGAATCTCAGTCACTACTGTTGGTGACTTTGTAGACGTTTCCGCTCCACGTACAATCCAATCTCAGCGGCCATGTTATTCATTCAATCCTCATGTAAGTCCCTCACAGGGCATACGCATTTCCACGAAAATAAGCAGAAAATGGTCACGGCTTAAATCAATTAGTTCGCTATATCCGTCAGTTCGTTATATCCGTCAGTTCGTTATATCCGTCAGTTCGTCATAAGCGTGTTCGTGATAAACGTAGTTACTGAACAAGGTAAACGGCGTGACTAAAGAAACTATACACCAACGTTGTGTCGAAAAAATGAAATAGACTAGAACTAGTTGTTCTATGGTGATATGTACTGGACAAAATAAGTTAGGGATATTGGTATGTTTATGATTGATATTTTATCAAGTGTGTCAATGAATAAATGGATCATTATTCATAATTTCAAAATTTACATATATCCCTAACTATTTTTGTCCAGTATATTTGATACGGGTATAGCAGCTGTGTTGTGAACCGTTTGTTTGCAGTGAGTCGGCGACTGTTTTTACAATAAATATTCGGGTAAATCCAATATTTATGTGTGTACTTTCTTTACCGAGGCAGGTTTACAAATGGAAGGGCCTCGACCCCAAGCAGATCACCGTGACCCCAAACATACCTGTGCACCGTCTTGCCCACCCCCGTCTGACACATCTAGTCACGACACCCTTATGAATAAACAATAACCTGTTGAAGGATGCGCTGGATGTGGAGGAGGATGTCACCGCGATGAAACCCTGTCGGTGATAATGTGCCTATAAAAACCTAATATGCACTTGTGACATATAGGCTCTCACGATAGCTCGAGGTAAACTATCGGGCGAGAAAGGGTAAACTCTCGAAAATAGGATTTTAAAAATAAAACAAGTTTTATCAGGACGTTACCAGACGAAAAACAGTTCAGTAATGACTTTAAATCATTTCACGAAATAACCAGAAAAAATAGCTTTCCCTGCAGGCACACAACAGGGGTGTACTATAACGCCGTTCCTCTTAAGCATAATGGACTGGGATCTGCGATGTCAACTCTCAGTGCGACGGTTGTACCAAGTACATCATCCACTCAAGGTGTGATACTGCAGTACAAGTCCTTTACTTTACAGTGAATAGGTCGCATCACGACACAGCATGACGGTCACCGGTCACAGGTCGGAGTCAGTCAGATGAACGAAATGCACATCTGTAGCAGTTACTAGCCTAACTTGCTATTCATTGATGAGTGAGTGAGTATAGTTCTGCGCCGCTTTTAGCAATATTCCAGCTATATCACGGCTGGGGGCACAGTGAATAGGCTTCACACATTGTACCCATGTGGGGAATCGAACCCGGGTCTTCGGCCTGACGAGCGAACGCTTTAACCACTAGGCTGCGCCACCACCTCTATTCATTGATGACTTTTCAAACTTACAAAGCGTTGTATTTTGAAATGTCTCTCGTCAGTCACTGTAATTTAATATAACGAATTGTGGACTTTTTTTGTTGACAGAACAAAAGCAATATTGACAGCGGACGTAGTTTCCTGAAAAGTATTGTATCATTTTATCATAGAATTGCATCATTATCTACTATAACGTGTCAACGCTAGATACTAACCAGTCTCGATTATTGACAAGACAGTCTCCAATGGGCAAAAAAAGGTCAACATAGCAGCAAAATTTGTCACGCCACATTTCCAACCTTCCAGGGACACTGATTGGTCCTCAGTGACGATGCTACAAGAACAAGTTTTCGTAAAATCGTCACGACCCTTATTTGACAATAGCGCCCGACAGCTCAGTGATGTATGAAGCATGTGTACGGCATGTATTATCTATGTATGTGTCAGGATAGCAGCTGACAGAGACCTATAAAGGCGGAGGAGCATACACAATGTATCTTGTTCATCTTGTCTAGATACATTTTGTTATTGGACTGTTTTACGACAAATGCTTAATAGTGAGTGAGTTGGGTTTAACGCCGCTGTGAAAACCGGTGCTTCATGGTCGTGTACGTGCTATGTATGCTGTGACGGAGATTTATGCCGCTTAGTTTAAAAGAACAACAAAACTTGATCACGGTTAGGTTTCTCGCAAAAACTAGGCGAACGATGATGATTTTCTGGCGTTACCAAGGGACGCAACTCTGCACAGAGTATAACGCCTTAGACCACTGAACCACCCATGCCACGTACTCCTTGGGATAAAATATAAAGACAGATATTTATAGAACGAAATGCTGTACTGAATTATATCCACGTGGAGGTCTAAAATAAGACAAGTCTCTGTCCTCAGTTGTTTAGTGTTTCCTTTAAACGAGCTCAGCATGAGTTGTCGTATGTCGTGTTAGAGTCGAAAAGGTAGGTTTATGAATATCAAAAGAGAGGATAGAATCTGTAGATGTTGTAATAATACTGTTATAGAAGACTAATATCATTTTCTTCTACTATGCCCAGCATATAATACTATACGTAAAATATATATCAAAGAACTCTATTTTGTCCATCCATCAATCGATAAATTTTCCTCTCTATTGAATTCTTCAAATGAATTTGTAATTAAAAATGTTGCGGTTTTCATTTATCAAGCCATGTTGATTAGAAAATTGTATATATGAAATGTTCTATAGGCCTGTGGCCTCCTCAGTACTGAAATAAAGATTGATTGAGGTCAGGGATCAACCAACAATGTAACAAATCCAAGAACGGGTATACCGTGAGCAGCAAGAACAGCAGTGCATCGCCGTCCCATAGAGTCTATCATATGGGATGGTAGGCTGGTGAAAGGCTTGTCATATTTCTGCAACTCTGCTGCCAAATCACGAAAGGTCCCCGGAGGATTCCTGTCCAGGCACACAGGCGGGATCGTGACGTTCCTCAAGACGTCTGTAGTGACGTTGACGTCCGTCCTTCGCTACGGGAAATGTTAAATCTGGACTCCAGCAGTCCACCACATCCGAGGTTGACGGCCACGATTTCGACCTTGACCGTGCGTCAGGATAGGTTGCATGGCGGGACGACGTTGTCGTTTCCCACAATAACGTATAATAGCATTCCTGACTGTGTTGGAGTAGATACACCGAAGTCCAGGAATGGTTAGTTGGTTGTTTAACGCCGCAGTAAGCAATATACCAGCTATATGACGGCGGTCTGTCTGGACCAGACAATCTATTGATCAGCATCATGAGCATTGATGTACGCAATTTACCATGTGGGGTACACTTCGGCATGTTGAGGGAACGTTACAATCAGACCAGACAATCCAGTGATCAACATTATGAGCATTGATATACGCAACTGGGATACGATGACATATGTCAACCAAGTCAGCGAGCCTGACCACCCGATCCCGTTAGTCGCCTCTTACGACAAGCATGGGTTACTGAAGATCAATTCTAACCCGGATCTTCACGGATGGTCTGAACAGTAGTCATTGCAGTCTGGAAGTTCCGAACCTGTGCCGGCGACGGGTCATCCTCTTGCATCTGTCCTTTTTTTTGCGTTGTGACGCGTTGACGTCCTGGGGCTCCTTTCACGAAGCAACCTTTACTAACCTATACTAACCTTAACTCCCATTACGATCACCTTAGTGCTTTTTGAAAGTGAGGCCTGCACGTGAATGCTCGGCTACTTCCTGTTGATCAGTGCTGAAATGGTGTTCAGGAAGCAATGGAAATGGGCAGCCATCTGAGTTTGAGACATTCCCCATTGACCATCCCGATAGCCTAATGACATTGTGCAGTGGGTATGGCATGATGTTCGGTCCATTAGCAGTTTCATTATTTTAACGATCAAACGTGAAACAATCAAATTTTCCGAACAAACTCACTCACTCACTATACTAGCAGCCCCTAGAAACTGACGAGACCCATAGACGTATATATTTGTGCTTCAATGAACTATAGACAAAGGGTAACATCTTTTGTAGCAACATATGCATTTCCAACATGGCGCCCAGGAGATCTTCTTAGTTGTTATTTCAGAATGCCCGTTACTTACATCGAAGTCACTCAAGACAAATCCTGGATGGGTAAGGAAATGTCATCGGTGTTGGTTTACATCTGATAAAGGATATCACGAAGTCAGACAGAAATATCAGCGAGAACGCGCACCTGACTTCGGGTTGACGTCGACGGAAAGAAATTTACATTAAGAATTTCACGTTCATGCTGTTTAAAGAGAATGTATGCTGCAAATATTTACATACATTAGCTTTTGGGGGCATTTAAAAATAGTTAAATTGCCTCCCCAATGTCATGTCAAGCATACAAGCATAGACAAGCTTTTACGCATCAACACCAACCCAGTAGATAAAGGTTTTAACGTGTATAAAATCGCAGTGTCAATAATCGAGTTTATTCAGTTCGATATATATATTTTAGCGTGCTTAACGGTAAAAAAGCGATCATAATCATAGAAAATAAACATTTTATATTTTTCGTTATTTTAAAAGCATTTAATCCTTCATTTCCCCCTTTGTAAATTGTCTCTGTGAGTGGTCTTTTTATTAATTCTCAGCAACAAGCGAGTTGACCCGCATCAGCCATCCAGTCCTTGCCTCACGGTGTCCTCCCATTAGTCATACGTCCCACTAGTCATACGGGTTAAAACAACATATGGTATGGTTGACTGCACCAACAACTACCTTTGTAATACCTTTGTAATAAAATGGAATGATCCAAGAAACAAAAATACAGCTTCGTCTCAGTGAACTTTAATGATCTGTCTCCAGCCAAGTATACATGTTAAAATGGTGACATATTGAATAGACAATTGAATAAAACATCTTCTTCTGTTTTCAGCAAAGTATACATACATAATCTGTACACTTAAAATGTAAATGTAAATGTTTAACGATATATTTTATTATATATATATATGTCTTATCTTATCACATTTATAGTGTCTCCTCCCGCTCTCCCCGGAATCCCCGGATAATCAGCATCGATTGTAACATGATCCCAGCCACGGTACAGACGCAGTTTAAATGGTTTAAACCCTGGCTAGATCTACAAATGTTTAAATTATATATGAAGACACACTGAGTTTTCGATTTGGAATGTTCACCAGATGTGTTTTGTTGAGTGTGTCTAAATTATATATATTAATACATACGAGAGAGAGAGAGAGAGAGAGAGAGAGAGAGAGAGAGATAGATAGATAGAGAGAGAGAGAGAGAGAGAGAGAGAGAGAGAGAGAGAGAGAGAGAGAGAGAGAGAGAGAGAGAGAGAGAGAGAGAGAGAGAGAGAGAGAGAGAGAGAGAGAGAGAGAGAGAGAGAGAGAGAGAGAGAGAGAGGTTTGTAGAAATTTGGGTGTTGGGTGGCCATGTGGATCAACCATTCGTACACTGACGAAAACCTATTTCTTTTGATACTGAGTGCATATTATATCAATACAAACATGATGCCATACTGTTTATGTATATTGAGAGGGCGGTGGTTTGGCTTAACGGTTGAAGCGTTTGTAACTTTAATAGCCCGTGTTCGATTCCCAACATGTGTATGTGAAATGATCTGCCTTAATAGGGGCGGTTGGGTAGTCTAGTGGTTAAAGCGTTCGCTCGTCACGCCAAAGATCCGGGTTCGATTCC